TGTTTTGATGTCTAAAGGCTTCATTTCATTTGCGATTCGTTCATGGAATGCAGTTCATAGATGTGGGCACAATGGTTTCCCCAACAGTGTATGCGCGGAGAAGTTTGTGTTATGTAATGTGTGATCAGGCAGATGCGGCGCTGCGGGACGCAATGCAAGCACAGTGTGTGTACCCTGACTGGTCAACCGCGTTCTATATGCAAGCGGTCGCTCTCTCAAAGCTTGACATGCACAAAGATGCAGCTGATATGTTGAATGAGGCTTCCACTCTAGAAGAGAAGCGCCAGAAAGGCGGAAGGTCTTGACACGCCTCTTTGATATTCGTTCATTCGTTCGTTCAGCTCTTCGTTCCTCTCTCTCTGTCTCGAAATAAAAGTGACATGTTGACTTTTGCATTCAAACGACGTTGAATAATAACGGTCAAAATTGATAAAATTTGACCGAAAAAGTCAACTTGTCACGTTTGTTTTGGAACATGTGGAGTATCTTGGGAGAAGAAAAAGAAAAGAGAGACTAATTTCTTGTTGTATCATTTGGTTCACGTGTGTGATTTGCATAAGAACTATGAAAATGTACAATATATATAGCATGTTGCAGAAAAATGTTTATTTGTTAAATTATTGTTCACCCTCAAATTGTGTGAGAACAATTGCTACATAATATATCTGGATTTGTACATTTGTAATTAGAGTAAATACTCAAATTTAGTGTATCTATCTGATCCACATTTAATATATGCTTGTCTTTCTCCATTCACTGAATTTAGTTGTCCATTTTTTTTCCTTTTTCAGGACTTTTTGAATCAGTAGCCCGGTTTACTATATTTGGAAATGAAAGTAAATGAAATTACTCCCTCAGTCAAGAAAATATTTCTCATTATGATATTTGGTTAGTTTTTTTTTATAAATTATTTTATATGAAAAATGGTGTGAAATTAAAAATTAATGATTACAGATTTAAAAAACTACCGAGTATGTAAAAAAATCTTAAAAATTAGAGATGATATGACTATACTCCCACCGTCTCTAAAAGATTGTCACAGTTTGATTTTTTTGTTAAACTGTGGCATTCTTTGACCGTAAATTATGAAAAAAATATATTTAGTTATAATCTAAATTTAATAAAATTAGGTTTATTTTAAAATACAATTTTGAACTATCAAATTTTTATAATTTTAATTATTTTGAACTATATTTAATTAATGATAAAAAAGTGACACAATTTGACCCAAAAAAAAGTTAAACAAAAAATCTTTTAAGGACGAGGGAGTATTGTTTTAACAAATGTGAGGGAGTATTATTTTAACAAATGGACAATCAAAATAGACCAATAAAATGAAAAAAATTAATCATGTGAATAATAAATACTACCTCTGTTCCGGTGTATTTATCCAATTTGACTTTTTCGAGTCAAACTGGACAAAGTTTGAACTTCAATTACTCTCAATTTATATTGCATATTAGCATAATGAAATAAAATTTTGAAAGTTCTCAATACGATAAATCCAATAAAGTCATTTTTATGTTAAAATACATTACGATTTTTATTTAGTTGAAGCTCAAAATTTGTCAAGTTTGACTCGAAAAAGTAAAACTAGACAAATACACTAAGACGGAGCCAGTAGATAGAAAATTTTTGGACTTTGAGAGTATATAACAAAGGGACCCATTAAATGTCACAAACAATTACATTAATCAGTTTTGTCATCTCATCATAATTTTTATATTGAATATTTCTCGAAATAATAACAAACACATTAACCAGTTTTGTCATTTATCTAAATTCTCAAATTTGAAGTATTTTAGGAAAATGGGCAATTAAATCTAGGCACCAAGGAGAGTTTGTTTTTTTACTCTCTCTGTCCCAAAAAAAACTCTACGCATGACTTTCACAAAATTTAACTACTCCATATATGATTAGAATCTAATTAGGTTGCGTTCTATTCGCCTGATTTGATCTAATATGATTTCTTGAAGATATGATCTGGTCTGATCTGATTGTAGTAACAATTAAAGTTGTTTTTGATCTGATCCGGTCTGAGCTAATCTGATTATAATAAAAATAAGTAATAAGCAAAAAAAATAAGTTGAACGGAACCCTGCCTTAGATGAGAAAAATCTTATATTCCCTCCGTCCCAAAAAGATTTACACATTTCAAAAAAATTGTGTCCCACAATCACTTACTCATTTCTATTAAAAAACCACTTTTACCCTACTTTTTCAAACCCTATCTATCACATCATACCTTTTTCCTAATAATCTACCCATCACATCCTACTTTTACCCATCACATCAAGGGTATTTTTGGAAAGTCAACACAAAATTATCCTTCCCTTAATTTCAACTTTAGTCAAAATGGGTAACACTTTATGGGACGGAAGGAGTACAATTCACACATATTCATTACTAAAAAAAGAAATAAAAGTAAGAAGTGTTTATAGGACACCCAAAAAAGGGTAAAGTTGGAGGAGTATAGACAAGATATATATATACACACAAGATTCAGGAATATGAGTAGTGAGTATTGTACTGTGTATATAGTGAAGAAGAAGAAGAAGAAGAAATGATACTGTAATAAATGACACTAAGCAACATAGAGCTCAGCCTTGCCATCAATGAAGAGGCTCATGAACTCTTCACCATCCACACTTTCTTTCTCAATCAAGAGCTGGGCAAGCCTGTGGAGTATGTCAATGTGGGTTGTGAGTATGTGTTTCGCCCTCGAATACGCCCTCTCCACCAGCTCCCTCACCTCCCCGTCCACTATGTCCGCCGTTGCCATCGAGTAGTCTTTCTGCGACGACATCTGCACTTTCCCACAATCCATCACCACGTATCGTGCGCAACACAGAAGCAAGGGAGAAAATAGTCATTTTCAAAATATTTTTTTTAAAAAATGGTTTCTGTTAGGTTTGTACTATTTCTGAGCCAGGATCTCTTGAAAACAATCTACCCACTTCATAATCAAATGGAGGGGGGTATGGTCTGCGGACAGACACCCTCCCCAAACATTTGATTTTGTGGGATTCTACTGGGTTTGCTGTTGTTGTTGTTGTGGTTTGTGTTAGGTTTCAATGGAATTCCCGGTTTTTGTTTACGATACGGGGAGAGTAGTTGTTGTTACCTGTTGCCCTAAGAAAGGGTTCCCTCCGGATCCACCAATGGCAACCTGTCCAATCTTTTTACTGAACCCAAACTTCTCCACCATTTGCCTGGCGACGCGGGAGACTTGCATGAAGTCATTTGATGCCCCGGTAGTCACATTATCTACCCCAAAGATGACCTCCTCCGCGACCCTAAGGGAAAAATGTGAAGTTAATAATGGGTAGAGGGGAGGTAAAAAAGAACCTTATTTTCAAACCCATCCTAGTAAAAGAATCATATACTTCCCAATGAACTCCAAAGATGGAGACCAAGAAAGATTTGAACTTTGTACAACATACCTTCCACCAAGAGCAACAGCCATTTGATTCTCCAAGTAGCTTCGACTATAGAGCCCAGACTCAAGTCTCTCTTCACTTGGAGCGAAGAAGGTGAGTCCCCCGGCTTGGCCACGAGGAATGATAGAGATCTTGGCAACCGGATCGTACTCTGGCATAAGCGCTCCTACTAGAGCATGGCCCGCCTCTACATTCAATTTTAAGTATATGCGTGAGGAAATTGCTTAAAATGGTCTAAGGGTTTTTTTTAAAGAAAAATCTATTTGGGACAAATGTTAAGAGTAATCATATATTTTTTGAGTAGGGGTGTATTTGTGATTTTCAGAAATATGAAGGGTTATTTGATAATTTGACCAAATCTCAATAGAGGTAGGAGAGAGCTGTAACTAGCAACAACAATTTACCATGGTAAGCAACCAGCTTCTTTTTCTCTTCAGAGACAACAGCATTTTTCTTCTCGGGGCCGGCGATTATCCTCTCAAGAGCATCAGAGATCTCGTCTTTGCTAATTTCCTTGAGGTCGCGCCGAGCTGCGAGAATAGCCGCCTCGTTCATCAGGTTTTGCAAATCAGCACCGGTGAAGCCCGGCGTTCTCCTTGATATCTTCTCTAGGTCCACGTCCTTCGCAAGGGCTTTTCCTCGAGAGTGCACCTAAAGTTGTTGACAAAGGAATAAACAAATCACGTTCCTTCATAGCCATGAATATATACAATAACAACAACAACAACAACATACTGAGTAGAACCCACAAAAGTAAGCACATTGCTAAGGTCTACTCAACCAATCTAATCCTAGCTCTCCAAAGGCTCCATATCCTCAGACATATGGAGACATATGGTGAAGAACACCATAAGTAACCACACTCTCCACATCCATGATATTATTATTATTACATCTTATTTTTTGCATTGTAAAGTTACCTTACTCGTCAATGTAAGGGTAACATGATAAGAAACTATTTCACTTCTGATCTTGCAATTATTAGGTTATTCCAATTATTTTTTGTCCTGGCAAAAGTTTTGGTGCATTTCTATGGATTTCTTGTCATTTTGTGTTCCTTTCAGCCACTCATTCCGTAAAAATCGGCAAGAAAACTGAGGAAACTTGCCGGATAAGTGGTTGAAACTTGAAAGGATCAAAAGCGACAAGCAGTCCATAGTAATGCACCAACAATGAGAAGGAAAAAATTCCGAGCCCAAGTAAGCATAACCTGTTGGCGCTGTGAAACCAAAAGTGTAACATAGAGTATTTTTTATACTCTTACAACAAGCGTAATAACTTCTATAATCCCTAGCTGTGTAGTCCGACAAAATGTAGGTGACCTAACCAATAAAAAGGGATTTTATTTTTAAAGAAAAAAACTTCAAAACTCCAAACACTTGTTTGGCCAATAGTAGCAGTGTACATAACTTCAAAACTCCATATATCTGCATAGCCAATCCAATGAGGCAATGTTTGGTTGGTAAGCAGTAACCTAAAATTCAAATCGTTATCTAAGTTCATCAGATGTGATGGGGAGTCTCTTGGAAACAATCTTTCTACTTCTGAGTAGGGGTAAGGTCTGCGTACACACATCCTCCCCTTTTTGTGAGGTTCTTGTGTTGTTTGTTATACTCCATATCTAAGTTCATCACATGATCACAAGAAAACCCATTCTTCACTTACATTGACATAACAAATCACAACAAATAAATTCGTAATAAAACAAAATAATTCTCGAGAATGAGTTCGTTTACTAACCTGAAGAATCTTTACTCTGCCTGCAACGTCAGGCCTATCCACAGTCACTTGCCTATCAAACCTCCCTGGCCTCAACAATGCAGAATCAAGAACGTCCGGTCGGTTTGTAGCAGCCAGAACTATGACACCCGAGTTGCCCGAAAACCCGTCCATTTCCGTCAAGAGCTGATTGATAGTCTGCTCTCGTTCGTCGTTCCCCCCGCCAAGCCCAGCCCCTCTCTGCCTCCCAACCGCATCAATCTCATCTATGAACACAATGCAAGGGGCTTTGGACTTTGCCTTCTCGAACAAATCTCTCACTCTAGAAGCTCCCACCCCAACAAATAGCTCGACGAACTCCGAGGCCGCACAGGAGAAGAACGGCACGCCGGCCTCGCCGGCCACAGCTCTGGCCAATAGGGTCTTCCCGGTCCCGGGCGGGCCCACCAAGAGACACCCTTTGGGTATTTTTGCCCCTAAGGCAGTGTACTTGTCTGGGTTCTTCAAGAAATCAACCACTTCTTGTAATTCTAGTTTGGCTTGATCTGCTCCAGCCACGTCCGCAAATGTGACTCCTGTTTCGGGCACTTCTTGGAACTTGGATTTCGACCGGCCGAAATCCATTGGACCTCCTAGTCCCCCTGGTCCACCGGGACCGCCCTGGGCACGCCTGAAAAGCAGGAAAAGCCCGCCCAATGCTAGAGCCGGGAAGATTAAATTCCCAATGAACCCGAACAGGCCGTTCCCTGATTCTCCTTCGGAGACGGAGATATCCACCCCGTTCATAGCCAGTATGTCGATCAAATCCGGGTCGTTGGGAACAACCACCGCAGCTCTCCGGCCATCAACCGCCGTGAGCTGCAAAAAGCTCCCGTCTTTGCTGAACCGAACCCTCTCGACCTTCCCCTTCTTCACCGCATTCAAGAACTCGCTGTAACGCCACTGGGATCCCTCCGGAAGGTCGGAAGCGGGTCGGGTCAGCGGGTCAGGCGCATTCAAAACAATATTTTGGGAGAAGGGGGAGGGAGTAGACGGGCCGGGTTTAGGCAATTCGGCCTGAACCGGGGCGGGCGGAGCTGGAGCATCGACGGCATAAGCTTGAGGAGTGGCGGAGCAGAAGACGAGTGCTGCGGCAGCTGTGAAAGCGGCCTTGGAATTTGAGTTCTTGCGAATAGCTGCTAATTTTGGGAATGGAAGTTTCCGATCGGAGCGAAAGGATTTGGGGATACGGGGTGCGATTAAAATTAGGGTTCCACCGGATAAGAATTGGGGGGAAACTAGAGAATTGGTGGGAGTAGCCATTTTTATGCTTCTCGGTGTTCTGAAAACGCAAGATAGAGAAATGGATGGAATCCCCAATTCTATGGTTAAGCGGCGTTTGGGTAAAAGGAATGATTAAAATTTCTTGAAAATTAAATTTTTATTTTTTGTTAGTAAAATAAAATCTTTTTTAAGGATAATTAAAAAAATAGATTTATGAGTATCAACCCTAAACATAATGTAAGTAATGCTAGAATTTGGCATTATCTTAATCCATATTTTTTTATGGTGAATAATGTAAAAAATGGTGATAAGAAAATACGACTTCCTAAGATCATTCGCTGTGGGTGGCCCGTGATAGCCACATGGTGACCGTGATGGTGGTGATGCACATCACGGTTAGGAATAACAACGGATTGGGTTCGGGTCGGATAGTATTATATCTGAACCGAACTCAACTCATAATCTGATTTTTAAACCAAAACTCGACCCGACTCAAACCTGATATTTAAGCTCGAAACCCAAACCTGTAGTTTAACTAATAACTAATTCGATGTACCACAAGAATTTGGAAAGAATAAATCTAAATTCTTTTATGTCTCATTTTTTATTGAAGAAGTTTAAAAAAATTATAAAAGGCATACGTGGTATACTAGCACCTTGTCAAGATAATTGAGTGGCTAGAACTGCGAACAAGACAGTTGACAGACCAAAGATGTAAGGAAGGAAGAGTCATACAAGAACAATGGAAAACAAGATGCGATGTAAGGACCAAGAGAGAGATGCGGTTGAGCTAGAGAATTGAAAAAAAAGAAATTATACAGAGTACTCATTATATCTGTAGATAAGGTTTTAGGTTATAAAATATTTAGGTTGGTTCTGGTTCGGGTAAAATTATAAACTCACACCCAACCCGATCCGATGTCATGTTTGGGTAAAAATTTTGAGTCGCTTGGATTATTTTATTCTCGTTTTGGGTTTGCATAATTTAGTATTCGGTTAAGATTGGGTTCAGGTTGAATTGTCATCCTAATCACGGTCATCACATGGCTTTGACTACCCTCCCTCCCAACTAGGCGTTGCAACAACTAGTTGAATTATTATTATTTTTCAATTGATTATTTAAAAACCTCTCATCCTTCTTTAAAATTTACAATTTTTATCTACTTCTTTCATATATACATTCTTCTCATCTCTTGATACATTTTTTAAAATCATTATAAATCGTTTCTATTTGCAATTCCTTGAATGACAACGGAAATTTTTAGGGAATTCTCATCAACTTTTTCTAATAAATTGTAGCTCGAGTGGATTAAATAATACTTACTCTATATTATTGTTATTATTATTGTTATTATCATTATTATTATCATAATGCTCTTTTTGTCACTAAAATATTTTCGTCTTCCGAAACATGTGAAGAATTGCAAATGTTTTACGAAAAATAATTTTGTTTGTAAAAAATAAAAAAATGAAGAGTACAATATATACATACATACGTACACACACATACATACATACATATATACTTACTTACATATATACATACAGACACACACACACACACACATCTATAATCTAATAAATTAAACTGAAATAAATTCAATCAACCTCACAATCAAATCAGAATACATTTGATCTGATTCTAATAAGAATGTGAAAAAGATATTTTAATATGCATTTTGTTCGTGTGAGCCTCCACCTAGGTTAAAATTGATATAACATATAATGGAGGGGGCGTTTATGCAATAAAGTTTTAACTAGAAGGGCGATCACGTTACTTTTTAGACCTCTGGGGTGCTATGCACTTTTGAGGTATTACAGTGAGTCATATGCAGTTATTCCGTTTTATTTGTAATGTGTAAACTTGAAACATTAGCTGATCTACCTTGCTCCGACCAGGGCACATGCCCCTTGTCAATTTGTTTATATACAAAGTGTAAAATAAAAAAGAATCTTGTAAAATTAAAAGAGCGGCCCCAGTAATATACTTTTCTTGATGCTGTATTATATTTTTCTGTGTTTGAGATCATATTTTTTACTTGTTTTAAAAATGTGAGACATAAAATTTATTTTTTTTCCATCAAAAATTTAAAGTAACTTAAAATATATATATACGGAGGGGATGCCCCTCGAACCCCATGCCTTACTATCGTTCCATTTCATTCGTCATCAACAATCTATCATTGGCTTGAATCGTAATACAATGTGTTCTATTTTTGTTTAATTATCACAACAATTTCTGCATATCTCTCATATAGTTATGTTGTTGAACAATACAATGTTCTGAATGAGCTCAACATTATTTCATTTTTTCAAATAATGTGTTTTGATATAGAAGATGGAAGAAGATCCTTCCTATATCACCGTGTGTTGTGATATAGAAGATCCTTCCCGACTTTTAATCCCAAAGACGAAGTTTACATTTTGTTAAGTTCAACGACTATTTACCCATTCACGAAAGATCACGATTTATGCCCACAATATTATTTTCTTACAATTATTTTGTACCACCAATAACTACAAAAAAAATAATGACATGCAATATATGGAAACTTGTCTAGTTGTTTGGTTGGTCAACAAAGAATTGAACCCCCGCCCAGACCGGACCAAAACCACTCTAACCGTCTGAAAGAAACACGGCGGGTTCGGCGGACTTGGCCACGCACCCGAATTTAGCGGCACTGTACTTGCGGAGCACCGCCGTGAGCCGCCCGCCGCTGGCTGCTTTCCGGTGGAGAGAAACCATCAGTTTTGAGCAGTCCAAGAGCTGTTCTTTGCTGTGGTGGGTCTCGCACGTTCTGCTCCACTGATCCAAGCTGCAGCCTCCTCCACCGCCGCCGGTCAGGGTGCATTGGGCGGTGAACAACGCCGCCGCCGCCAGCTGCGACGGCGGGAACCTCAACATTTGATACTCAACCAGGCACAGATCAATCACGAACAAAGACGTCCATTCCAACTGTATGCATATATTTCAGCACCAAAGTTTACTTAGGCTCTGTTTGGTTGTCTAGCATTATTGTTGATCTAATAACTCAAGGATTTATTACCAATACAAACAAGTCCTTGATACAAAAATGATTTTTTTTAGATTTATGTTATAAAATATTTTCAAAATATTATTTTATTTAGTTAATATATCATACGGAGTATAATTTTATTTAATTGTAAGCCAAACGTTGAAAGTAGTTCACTGCAAAAAGTTAAAATAATCCGGGACTGAGATAGTATGTCATAATATGACATTGTAGAAGTTGTTCTCTTCATCTAATTTGATCGATTGTTTTATTAAATTTTAAACTGTTTCTCGTGGTCCGATCTCAATAAAAATAAGTAAAAAAAATAAATTGAAGAAAACATAACCAAAGTTCTACATGGGCTATATTGAGTCCGAGACTTGGTCCTACACTCCCAACCCATCGCATTGCCCCTCACTCTCGCCCTTAACATTTTACCAAAATGCGACATTTCGGCAAAATGCTAAGGGGGCTGAGGTATGGAACAGGGGCAGAAGGGTTGGGTTTGTGGGATAGGACCCTAAAATGGCTTGGTGTCAAAGATAGTACTTGTAATAATCTTAAGAAACCTTGATGATCATTTGGTAACTAAACAAAACTCCCTAGGTAGGATTTACTTGTGATTAGCCAAAAAAGATATCATATTCAAGTGATTAAGTGACCAACCTTCTTATCAGATCGCGCGGCTTTAAGGAACCGTCTCACAAACACATACGGTGTCGGGACCGACATGTTGAACTCCAATGTATTGATCATCACCCTCTCCTGAAAATGCCCGAAACCAAACTAAAAAATAAGATCAAACAGTTGGAAAAACAAAGAAGCATTAATTAGTTTTTTAAAAAATACCATTTGAAGGACTTCATTTCTGGAATAAGCTTTGTCTGTAATGGAGATGAAGTCCTGGACCAAAGGGACAGAGACTTCTTCATACTTGCAGGCCAGAAGCATTGCTGTGACACCAACCAGCTGAAGCTTCTTCCTCGCAATCGGTTGGACTGCTAAGAACCTATCTATGAGGTTCACCGTAAGGTACAACGTCTCCTCCATTAGTTCAAACTTGTAATGTACCTACCAAAATTTTTCATATCATATTTTTCGACACGCTGTGAAAGAATGCGTATATGTTATTTTTCCTTTCAAATTTTTCTTTGAATTTGTGACTATTTCTTCTTCGTAACGGTAGTAAAATGTTGGTGAAGTAGAGGGTAAAATCAAGGGAAACTGCCCTAATGTGTTGTTGGCATTTACCTCAATCAGCCAGTCAATGAGAATACTCCTCATTCTTTCATTAATGTCAGGCTGCAAGTCCATATAGTCTGGTGGAACACAGCTCAAACTCTAATATATATAAAGAAACACAGAAAGAAAAGTGGGAATCACTTTAACAAACACATATCTAAACCATGTAATTTAATTCATACCCTTTTTATATATTTGTTTCTCTATCATATAAAAGACCAAGAACTCTAAACATATGTTAAAAAAAAACTAAAGATGCCAAACTTTTTTTTTGTTTTCCATCACATTTTCCGGGATTCCGTTAAAAAACTAAACTAGTTTCCATCCAACGATATGTTTTTAGAAAATCCCACAAAAACAATGTGATGATTTCTGATAATTGTTAAAGATTTAAGAAAATCATTGTGTGTGTTTGTTTTTACCTCTATCCTCTTGTAGAAAGCATGTATGTCGGCAACATACTCAATGACATCAAACACGTCATTCTTATCGGGGCTATCTATGTCCGCGATCGGGTACTCATCCACAGATTCCATTTCAACATCATCATCATCCTGCATATAAAGTATGAAAGAACAACAATCATAATGGCTTGTTTGGTTTGTGGGTTTTGAAGGGATGATTGAATTCTTTCACTTTTTCCCAACTTATCTTAATTAGTAAACCATTTACCTCATTAAGTGGCTGCTGCTGCTTGCTTGTAATTTGTGCAGAGTATTTCCTATAGTTTCATTTTTTAAAAAAAGCAAAAACATAAATAATGAATCTTTTACAATGCCAAATGAGAACGGAAGAACAGAAAAAATTGTGATTTCCTAACCTAGTTATTGGGCGATGACGAGCCAGAATCTTAGAATTCTTGTTAGAAGTATTCACAAGTTTTCTACTACAAACAGGAAGTGCAGAAGAACTCAAATCAGAACCAAATACAAATGAATGAAAAAGTTTGAAGAAAAAACAAAAAGGGTTAGGAAGAAAAGAATTACTCAGTGGAAGCACTTCTCTTGTGCATAGCAGAAGGACATGGTCTTGCTGCAACGATATTCGCATCAATGGCTCTTAACGCCCTGCGATTTCTCCCCATTTCTGCCATCATGTTCACTCCTCCTCCTGATCATACATTTCCCATATCATATTTACATTAGGGTTTCATGGCCAGAATTATACAGTAGCAAGAATTCAAATATAAAAAGAAAATGCTTAATTTTTTAAAAAACAATACCTGTATCATTCTCATTTGATTTAACCATCTCTGACAATAAATTCTGCAGGCATCAAATGAATGGACGAATCATAAAAAATCCCCAGGCCACTAAAAATTGAAATGCAGTGAAATTTTAAAAAGAAACTCGTGTTTCCCGGCACACAAAATTTGGAAATAAAATAAAGAATACCCACAAAAGAAATCGTTCAAAGATCAGACCTTTTCACTGGATAATCACTCAAAAGTCAAAACCCTTTACACAGTAAATTTTTTATCAAACAAAACGCATTCTGCATAAATCTAATCCCTTTTCGGGCAATTTCCCATAAACTGTTAACCAGAAAGAGATTGATCCCAAAAGAAAAACAAGAAAAGAAAGAACTCATAATCCTAAATATATTTACAAAGAAATCAAAAGAAAACAAGAAGTACCCGCAGAAAAATCAAATGATTTTTAAAAAAAAAAATCCAATGGATGTTCTTCTTCGAGGGGTGAAAAGAAGATGGAAACCTCAGTCAATTAATCTTCAGTTCTCTCTCTATCTATCTATCTGGGAGAATGGTATTGCCGTATTGGGGATATCGAGTAAAGAAAATAAAATGAAATTGGGGAAAGAGCAAAAGAATTGGATCCCAATCGTCCGAGGCGTTTGAATTTAAATCCAACGGCTAGTGAAGGCTGGTCGTTTGGATGAAATAGGGTGTTGTTGGTCTATGATCATCTTGCGGTTACCAAATGACACTCATATCCTTTCAAATTTCACATTAATTCCCAAGAGTTTTTATTTTAGTGCTCCACTCTTATTAATTAAGACTTTTAATTACTTTTCTATCAATTTTTTTTACTATTCTCTGTGTTACTCCATAGTTGATATATAATGGATTATGAAAATGTTTTCCTGATACGTGAATCCATGATTGGACTACTGTAGCAAGACTAGTATAGTTGTAACCCACTCGTTCTCATAGACGATGCATAAAAATGGCGTTGTCACATGAATAACTAGTTTAAAAGTCTTTTCAGTCAATCACTTGGTTATTGTCCATTCCAACGAGCATATATGCTACCCTATTTTGTTCTCGCAGAACATGACAAATAGTGACTTCCCTATTTTTCTTTATCTAAAATTTGAAACTCCACTCGATGATGTGTTTTCAGACTTTGAATGAAGACAAAACGGGTTGGCGTTGGGCTAAGACTGTGTATATTGAGGTATTGGGCTCTTTGGCTTTTCTTTCAATAAAAAAGAAAAACCCTACAAGATTAGGGATTTTTTGTTAGAGGGGGGCCCATGTGTGCTCCCACATCCGACCGACCTACAATTTATCGTCGTACGTCATCGTCTTGTTCACATAACTGGTCCATTTTTTACTTATTTAAGTGAAAACTAAAGGATGTCACACTTGAGATTGCTTATGTTCTAATGTGAAGGGTCACATAACCAACTCGGGTACAACCCATTAAACTATGTTCAGAATTGTTTTTCTTCCTTTATTGTTGTTTGGATGACAAAAAAAATGGTAAGAAAAGTGGGAGGAAGAAAAACGTCATAAAACAAAAAAGATACTCCCTCCATCCTAGTGTATTTGTCCAGTTTGACTTTTTTGAGTCAAACTGAACAAACTTTGAGCTTCAATAAAATAAAAACCTTAATGTATTTTAACATAAAAATGACTTCATTGAATTTATCGTATTGAGAACTTTCAAAGTTGTATTTCATTATGCTAATATGCAATATAAATTGAGAGTAATTAGAGTTCAAAGTTTGTCTAGTTTAACTCGAAAATGTCAAACTGGACAGATCACTGGTACGGAAGTAGTATTTCTGACCCTCCATTTGTTTGGATGGAAAGATGTTTGTGGGAAAGCATGATTAGGATTTAAAGGGCAAATAAGTAATCTCATTCATTTTCTCTTCCATGACAAAGTTTTCTCACTTGCAAAGGGAAAATTCTGTTTTCTCATCCTCTCTTTTCTTTTGTTTCAATTTCTAATGATCCAAGGAGAGGGTTAGTGCAAATCGGTGTTGTTCTTCTCAAAGTTAAGATTGGACACTATGTTATGTTTATACTCCCTCCCGTCCTAAAAAGCATTTGTGTTTTGATTTTTTTTAGTCAAACAGTGATAACCTTTGACTATAAATTAAATATAATCTAAATAAATAAATGATAAAAAAATTGATATATCAAAATTATATCTTAAGATGAAGCCAGATATATTGAATTTATATTATATTAAATACTTCGTATATTTTTTCTCACAATTCATGATTAAAGTGTATCACTGCTTGACTAAAAAAAGGTCAAAAAGGAAAGGCTTTTATGATCGGAGGGGGTACTAAATTTTAAAATTACAAGTAATTAAAATAATGAACATTTAACAATATGAGACCCTAAAACTTTAGGGGTCCTGTACGGGAGGACACCTTGCTAATCCTCCGGGCTTCCCATGTGTCGGTCTTGCAAACGTAATTACTCGTATCGAATCATAAATTTTGTGTACAAATATAACTGAATTTGAAATTAAAAAAAAATACTACCTCAAACTAAAAGAGAAGCAAATGATAATTCGAAGATAAATCATTAGTTAGTTTCAACTAAATTTCAAAATTCTCCCAATTTAGAAGCCACACAATTAGCCCTTCTTTTTTTCTTCGTCTCCCTTCGCTCCCTTCCATCAAAACCGCTCCATTAGAATCTCACTTTTAAGGGAAATCAAGAAAACCATTCTTAAAAAGAAAAAAAAAACTGAATTGGGTTAAAAGTTTTTCTTTCATTTTTGCTCTTTGTTCCCAACTTGCAAGAGATGATTACACAAATTATGGGTTTCAAATTTCACCACCAAAAGTTGTCATTTTTAACAAACTCTTGATTAAAAGTAATTTGGGTTTCAAATTTCTCTTGAGAGTTCAAAGAAAATGTGATAAAAATGGAGGAGAATGCACAAGACCAAAAATCCCAAGAGAACCAAACAAAGTTGGTTCAAGAAACCATTGGGTTGATAGAGCGCGCAAAGACCATTGCAGATTATAGGATCACGCAAAGAAAAGAATGTGAAACTCTCGTTCGCAGGTTAAATCTTTTGCTTCCATTGCTGGAAGAGATGAGAGAGGCCGAGAGGCCGCTCTCGGATTCTAGTTTTCGGTGTTTGAGGAAGATGAAGAAGGCGGTAAAGGCTTCCAGAAAACTGCTTAAAACATGTCATGGCGGGAGCAAAATCTACCTGGTACTATGATGTGTGTCTATATATATTTTCTCTTGACCTCGTAACTATTGTCTCACTCTTCTTTTTCATTCCTTTCAAAAAATGTCACATTCCTTTTAAAGAAAAAACATTTGATTCCAATTAAAAATTAACATCTTCTCTACGTAAATACTTCATGAGAATAGACAAATTATAACCTGTCATAGCTAAACTATGACATTTTTTACAAGATAGAGGCGAATGTATATACTTTGTGCAATAAAGATAAATCTCAACTATATTTTCTGAGTTGTGTTTGTTTTTCGGTTTATTAATGTTGTTCTTTAGGCATTAGAAAATGAAGCCATTATGGAGAAATTTCATGATGTTTACGCAAAAATAAGTGTAGCTTTGGATGATATGCCTTATGAGCAACTTGGGATTTCAAATCAAATGAAACAGGTTGGTTAATATTGGTACCTTCATATATGCGTATTTACTAATTAATATGTTTTTGGGTGTCTTAAAGTAATTGTGTACTTTCTTTTTTTATTATACAAATTATTTTCTTGTCGAGAATGAAATCCAATTAATAAAGTTTGGTTGAATTTATTTAAAAAAAACAAGAATATGTTAACAAAAAACATATTTATAACAAGAGCTGACTTGATTTGGTAATTTTCAGATATAAATAATGACTTGATTATGCTATTGGAAAAGAATGTGTTGTTTCGGAGGGAGCATGATAGATCATGCAAAAGAAAATCATTAATCAATTCTCAAAATGCCATTTCTTTTTCTAAAATTTTTTGTCACCATTTTCCACTCATTCAGCATTTTTTTGGAGCACCATTCAACATTTAACATAGGCTTTAGTTAGCTTTCATGTTTTGAATATTTTATTAACTTTAAAAATATTAAAGCTACAAATTAAATCTTGATATTGTACATTGTGTTTTTGGGAATAAAAATAATTGAGGTGGAAATGATGCACATGCAATTGAGAAGAGTGAAGGGGAGGACAAATACACAAGACATGGAGCTAGTGATGGATTTAATGGTGTTGAAATCGTCGACTACCACGAAGAACGAAGACGATGCGAGCATTGAAAGCGTAGCCCACAAGCTCGGGTTGCAGAAGCCCGAAGAACTGAAGAGAGAAACCGCATTGGTTAAAAAACTATTCAAGGAAAGGAAGAAGAAACAGCATCGTCATCATCATCACCATGTGAGCTCCGAGGGAATGCAGCAAATCGCTCATCTTCTCGACACATTCAAACGATTCGCAGGATTGCCAACACAAGAATACGAAGACGAGGAAGATGGGGATGAATGTTCTTCTGTTATCCTTAAACCTGCTTCTGCTCACCAAAAGGGTCTTCCCATTGCAATCCCTAATGAATTTCTTTGTCCTATCACCCTCGAGATTATGTCTGATCCTGTTATCATATCGACCGGACAGGTAACCATACATGATCACATGTAGATTAATTCCAACCCGACTCCCACCTCGAGTTCCCCAATCAATTTGGAACATCTATTGTCAAAGTTAGCACCATGGATGGTGTCCCAAATCGATGGGGATTACGAGGATCGAGATGGAGGGTTTGTAGGGAGTTAAGGGGAATGAACCACCTCAGGGGTCGAGAACCATCGTAGGTGTTTCCAGAATAGCCCAATGTAAGTCATAGTTCGTAAAATGATATTGGTGCCAAGTGTCATTCGAACCCCACCGTGTGTTTTCTATGATTGAAAATATTGTACCATTTCATCTCATTGAATGTTGGGGTTGTCATCTTCATCCATGTTTTTTTGCAGACATATGAGAGGGAAAGCATACAACAATGGCTTGATTCAAACCACACAACATGTCCAAAAACTGGGCAATCTCTTCCCCATCTCTTATTGGCCCCAAATTTTGCTCTCAAGAACATAATCCAAGAATGGTGTGATGCCAACAACTTCCCAATCCCTAATTCCAGTAATCATCATCTTGATCATGAATGCCTTTCTGATTCGGGAAATAATGCCCGGAAATCCTCTCCGAAGAACAGTCGCCTTCAACCTCTGGTCGACGATCTGTCATCGGACCATCCTGAAGAACAGCTGAAGGCGGTGGAAGAGATCCGGTTCCTCTCCAAGGAGAGCGCGGAGAATCGGGTGTCGATCGCCGAGTGCGGCGGAATCCCTCCCCTCGTTCAATTGCTGACCCGACCCGATTTCAGGATCCGGGAGCACGCCGTCACGGCGCTACTCAACCTCTCAATCGACGAATCGAACAAGAGGGCGATATCGGAGGAGAGGCCGATTCCGGCGATAATCGAGATCCTGAAGACGGGGACGGCGGGCGCGAGGGAGAATTCCGCGGCGGCGCTGTTCAGCCTGTCGACGCTGGACGAGAACAAGGAGGAGATAGGGTTCCGGGACGGGATCCGGCCGCTGATCGATCTCCTGGAGGAAGGCGGCGTGCGCGGGAAGAAGGACGCCATCGCGGCCCTGTTCAACGTCTGCATCCACCGCGAGAACAAGGCGGCGGCGGTGGAGGCGGGGATCGTGGACCCGCTGGTCCGGTTCCTGGGAGAGGAGGAGCTGGGGGGCATCGTGGACGAGATCCTGTCAATCCTGCTGCTCCTGGCGTCGCACCCGGCGGGGAGACAGGAGATGGGGAGCCTGAAATTCGTGGAAACCATCGTGGGGATCATCGGAAAGGGGAGGAGCCCGAAGAACAAGGAGTGCGCGGCGGCAGTTCTGCTGGAGCTGGGAATGCACAAGTCGAACCTGATGCTGGCGGCGCTGCAATTCGGGGTGTATGATCCTCTAATGGAGGTGGCTCAGAGTGGGACTGATAGAGCCCAAAGGAAAGCTAAATCCATCTTGCACTACATGAGTAAGGCTGAACAAATTCCGTAAAAGCCCTTCCTGATCCTGCCACTCTGGATTTCAATGGTCACAGAAGTCACTGTTCTCATACGGAGCTCCATTCATAAAATTGATGATTTCTACCCCTCTAACCCCCCGGTAAAGCCCCAGCCAAGTCCCGACCCAAACTAATCATTTCACCTACGTCAATTGCACCTCGTAAGTATAATTGACTTTAAAGTCAAAACTTTTGACTTTATACTTACGAGGTGCAATTGACGTAGATGGGGTGATTAGTTTGGGTTGGGACATGGCGGGGGGTTTACCGGGAGGGTTAAAGGGGTAGAAATCATCAATTTTATGAACGGAGCTCCGTAGGGGGGCAGTGGCCACTGGATTCCAGTGGCCATGGAACCGAGCTCTTCTTTCTTTGTACATCACTACTTGGGTGATGCTGGTTCATACAAATATAAAATGTTAGTGCAATTTTTTTTGATCGTACTAGCATTTTGTGTCAGTGTAAACTTTCAAATATTTATGCATATCATTGGTGTGCGCTTTGGAGTACATTCTTTAGTGTAACTCTAGTGTTTATTTGATTCGTACGTGCCTTGCACCGGTTTGAAAAGTTGCATCGGCGTTACATTGTTATCTTTAGAGTTAAGTATGGTTTTGGTACTTATAAAATACTCCGTAGAAGACTTTTACGTCTCGCTTTCTATTTTTTCCTCCCTTCATATAACATAATAATACTAATTATTATTATTATTATTATTATTATTATTATTATTATTATTATTATTATTATTATTATTATTATTATTATTATTATTATACAAATAACAATACTATTTAATGATAAGACAATTTTGTCTTTCACCTATTATCTTTCTTTTTAAGTATATAAATTTTGGTTGGGAAGAACGTTTTCGATTGGCGCTAGCGTTTTGAAAAAAATTTTAATGTTGTAGATTAATTCTGAAAACGCTACCGCTAAATACTACCGTTGGAGAGCCTTTTCAAAACGCTAACGCTAATGTCAAACGGGGTAACCGTAAACCCGTATTTTTAATATAAATTATGGTCCCTTTAGTTTGGTTTATTCTAATCATCTTTATTATTTTTTTTATTTTGAAAATGCTTCTTAAACATAATTAAGATTTTTGATTTGTAGATAGAGATAACATTTTTTGTGTTCAACATCTTAGTTTTGCATCTCTTAATGCTTAAACCGAACCACCAATATTTTTCATTTTAACTTCGTCTTTAATCTTGGGTAAAAATCTAACCTAAAAAACCAAACCCGCCCCTACCAAAAAAACTTGGTTTACAAGGTGTAATTGAACTTATTTTAAATTAAATTTATATGATTATCATTGTAAAATTATAAAATAATTTTTGTATATTTGAAAAATACATTAAAATTTTGTCAAACATAATGCAATACAATATGATTATATAATATTATAGAATGAATAGTGTAAATAAACAAACAAAATCAATGAATTTTGACCGCGTAAATAGTAAATAGTACGAGTATATTAAAAAGAATATTTCTGGACGAAAAAAGTGTTAGAATATAACAATTTTTCCACACATACAACCATAAATTTAAGTTTTGGTTAAACTGATTTCTCGACATGGTATATATCGGAACATTGACGACCGATCAAGTGATCACGAGCTTGAAACTCATCTTCATCCAACTTTAAAAAAATTAAATTTCACATGCAATACTCAAAATAGTTACATGTAATTACACGTGAGGGACGTATTAAAATACTTCGCATAACAATATTTCCCTAGTTTCCTCACTTATCACCACAAGGCACCAACCAAATGGAAGTAATTGTGCCTTGGGTAGCTCAACTCGTTCAAGAGGAGGATGTCAAGTTCATTGATCGCATGATTGAATCCCGATGACGGCAATGTGAGAGTTCTATTATTTGTGATAGCTCCTTGTACACACTGAACACAGAACAAATTTTACAATGATCAGATTGAGATTATACTATAATTTGTATCTTACAATTTTGTTGGATCGGGTTGTGGGGCGTCCGAGGTGGGCGTCCCACTAAGTGGGAGTAATTGGGAGTGTAGTGATGTCGGGTATGGGAAAATATGACCGTCTCTTGCCATATTCACCTACCTGTCCTTTCATACTCCCTCCGTCCCCAATTTGATTACAAATTGCGGGTTACGGAGTAAAATTTTTTACTTTTTGAAATTATTTTATTTACAAATTGGTATATCAATAATATATAAAAATTACATATTAAAAACTACGTCAAAAATTCTACAAAACAAGAGGTGACAAAAATATTTTATTTTATCAAATACTTAATGAAATCGCGTAAATAAACAAAAGTTATCGAGAGGAGAGAAAAAAATTGTAATCTATTTAGAGACGGAGGGAGTATTATTTTTCCCAATTTCCGGATTTGTCTTGTTCACATTCCTCGAACCCCATTTGCAAATATTATGTCTCTCTCCCTTGAACAAAAAAAAAAGAAAAAATCTCTCTCGCTATGCCTATAGCCCTTAATCATAGCTCTATGCAAGGAGAGGATGACAAATCCATAGATTTTGGAGTCAAATTCCGACAACAACAATGTAGCGGTTCTATTCTTTGTAATAGCTTCTTGTATGCACTGGGCAGAGTCGACGTCTCTAAGAACCAAATTAAAAAATTATTATACCATGATTTATCATCCTCACTATTCTATCGGGACCGAGTGTAGGGGCGCCCGGAGTGGGCGTTCCACCTGTAAGGTTATTTGTAGAGGGGTTTTTTCCGGGGAAAAAATGGGCGTACTTGTTGGAATTTTTTGGCATTTTTAATAGGCATTAAATGGACCAACTTGGGTATATTTGTCAATAGGTCCACAAACGGTTTTAACCGTTAATTAATGGACGTGTGTTCTCTTAAATGAGATAAATGTTTTGATAATTTATACGCCCAAAATTGTAGAGGGTGATTGAGAAATTGATTATCAGAGTTAACCCGTCAATAGAAAAATATGGTAAGGATTGCAGTTTTTGCAATTTTACTGAACCAATCTTCTATTATTAATTTTACGTATTGTTTAAAATTAGTCCATTTTACGGAGTTAATTGGTCATTAATCTCCAATTATTCAGGACAAATTTTAAACGGAGCGTAGCGTAACGGACGTGTTAATGGCTAATTAATCACCATTAACACGTCATTAGTGTGCCACAAATGCCATGAAATAATGGTATAGGAGTTACATTTTTTCAAATTCCCTTGTTATAAAAACAAATCAAGGGAGACTCTCGAGAATGGGTGTTTAATACGCGAGGAAAGAAAAAAAAAGAAAGGGAAATACTTTCTTGTTTTTTTGAGAGAGAGTTCTTGATTTTCCGGCTAACTTTCCGGCAATTCCCTTCAAAGTTTTTTTGGTTGCCAACGTTCCTACGTTGTCCTTGTTCGTTGATGTGTGGTTGGTCCGTACAATCTTCACACACGATAGCGGTTTTATCTTGGGAGGAGAGTGCCCACGTTTTTCTGGTACGGTAGGCGGGCACTACTTAAGTACAGCTCCGGCGACTCCGCTGTCCTTCTACGGTGTTTTATTTTGCAGGTTTAGTTCATAAAGACCTCGCTGCATTCTGCCCTATGACATAATGTCCTCGCAGCCCAGCGCATAACGTCCTCGGTGTCCAGTGCTTAATGTCCTCATTGTCCAGTACTTAATATCCTCGCTGTCCAGTGATTAATGTCCTCATACAACAAGGCCGTTTGAAAATATAGAAATTTATTTTCCAACTTTGTTTATTTTGTAATATTCTGAATAAGTTATAAATTCAGAATTTTATTTAATTTTATTTTCCGGGGCCGTTCATCTTTCATGTCCGTTGTAGTCCGTACAAAAATTGTAACAGTACTCTCATCCTCATGATGCGGGTTGGAAAATACTACTGATTTCCCTCACTAATCATGATGCGGGTTGCGTCGATCATGTCGTTGTGAATCTTCATCTCACTCTCGGATATCCCTAACATATATATATCCTCTTTCATTAGTGCCTTGAGGTGGGTAATACTCCCTCCTTTTGGAAAAAGCCTTCCCACTTTGACTATAAGGCAAAATAAGGAAGTGTAAAATTATAGTGTACTTCCAATTTTGCTCCTGATGTGATGGATTTATTATTAGAGAAAAGGTATGATGTGATAAGTAAGGTATGAAAACGTAATTAAGGGTAAAAGTGGTTTTTTAATAGAAATGGGAAGTGTTTTGTTGGAAGTGAAAAAAATGAAAGAGGAAGTGTTTTTGAGAACGGAGGGAGTATATATTAACATCCATGTTCATTTCCTCCCTACATTTGGTGGGGGTGGAATACTCGATGCCTCCAATCGCCTTTTTATTGCTAGGTGGTTCCTCCCTGAGAATATTGAAGTTGTCCCTTGACACGCTGAAGTTGATGGACTATCCGTTCTCGCTCGTCGAGTACAAACCATCCTTAGAGAGTTTGGTTCGATCCAGCATCATCGATCATCAAGCGCCCGCCCCAAGGCTGAATTTGGAGCTCTTCTATAAACATTTTCTGGACATTGGCAAACATGCCACTGAACCGTTAGTTGGACTTCGGAGTACGCACGCCTCTAGTATTTTCAAAGCATCATCCTGTTACGTTCGAGCACATCATTGGGCCTCCCAGCATTGTACTTCACTAAATCCCGCTCTAGTGTTAAAGAGTATCACACATCGGAAAAGCGTGAGGAAAATAATCGATATATAAGCTCTTGAGTTGAACTAACTAATTGATTGAATTGAATCTTTTAATGTGGTTCAACCCAAGTGTCTTATAGCCCAATCCAGTAATCTCTACCCAATCCTAAATTCTATCATCTAGCTCCCAAAATATTTTTTGTTTTTCCAAATTTTCAGTCGACATAGAAAGATGAAAGATGAAATAAAAACCATTGCAGCGGTGTGGCGAACATCAAAGGAGACTTTATTT